ATAGACCGTTAAGTCATGTCTCCTGGGTTCCAATATTCCCCATCCATATTAACCTCCAACCTAAAATCACCTTTGACCTAGAGCAGCTCCTCTGGGAGCTCGGGCTCATCGAGGGGCGTATCATCAACCGACGGAAACAGCTGATTCTGCAGATTGGATAAAGTGCGGCTATACAAATTGGGGCGGGAGGACAAAGTGGAAAGCTATTCGGATTTTGAAATATTTATGACCCGGCAGTAAACCATTGTCTCTGAACAACGGATCCACTGGAGCGACTCACCATAGATGTTCCATAATAACGTCTAGAACGTGTGAATGCCACAAATTAGCATCCTAAACTCATTTTATGTTATATTTAGAGTGGAATAAAAAATTCACACACCTCCACATACAGTCGTTCACACATGCTCCCAGTTTATTTAGTTCTTGTGACGGGGCCTTTGTGCCGTCACCTTTGGAATTACATAATCTGCATGGTGACAAAAAAAAAACCCTGTAGCAGAAAAACAGATTTAAATGAAAAGAATCCAATGTGCTCCAGATTAGGTAGGTTGGGTTGGCTGGGCTGATTCTAAAGCTGCTCAGCAAATCACATGGCACAGGCAACATCACCTCTGTGCAGATGGAAGTGGGAACCACTTTGGATCCTCGCTCCTTTTACACAATCCCTGCTCTCTTACTTAACCGTGTGCCATCCGTGTCTAATAATAAGAGAGGCGGTTGAACTGGGAGGAAGGGGCGCTGTTTTTGGGACATTCTAGTACATTCGGTGAGCGGTTCTTCAAATCCTTCTCCTAACACATCCCCCTAGTCCGGCCCTCCTCCACACAGCATCTCCCGTGGGATCAGGCCACAGACAGGTGGTCACTGGGAGACAGGAGAGGCAGTCAGGCATAAGCAATCAGGGCTATCAGATACTCCCATCCACACCAGCGGCACAATTAGACCTGAGAATCCACAGTCATCTGACAAGCAACGCCCGCCACAGTCACATATCACACATCTGAGTGTGCACGCATGCACAAAAACTATTACAAACTATTACAACCCCAAAACACTTGACAGCCCCTGACACCGCATCTCATTATGCATAACATCTAAAAGTGATGAAGACGAGCAGACGGGAGGAACTTTTACTCACACAGCTGAACCCTATCACAGCCTGTGGTAACCTTGTAACAGCAATTAAAACAAGCATCAACATGCAACATGCAACAAAAACTGCAGCAGGAGGAAATAAACTCATGTGAGCACAAACTGGGTCAGTAATACCCCAGTTACAAGTTACAAACTGTGCTCCTGGTAGCTAATTACTTATCAAAACTATCTTAGTGGGTCTCCCTGAAGATGATGCCCATATGTATACACACTATGCAACAAGCTTGTCTGACTGGGATGTCTATGGACAAGATGCAGCGGCAGCGCAGACCATGGGAGTGACGCATTGCAGGTACAAACACACCAATCAGAGAGCGCGATTTCTTTCAGCTACGTCTTGTGCCCCATCGCAGAGTAGCAGAAAGTATTCATACGCCGTCATGTAGACCCTCGGCTACACGCAATGTAATTGAAATTGTCGACGTTAAAACATTCCCAGCGGTCGTACGCGGGTGTTGCGGGCGTTTTTTCTAATTTATCGCGTTGTTAATCGGTTATACAAATGCGGTTTGAGTTAATTTGGTAACTGAGGAAAAGGGAAGTCGGCGGATTGATACTGAAAAGAGGAGGAGTTTAGGATAGCCGTTAAAGGCGAGTCCAGTTGCCTCTTCCTCAGTGTGTTCATAGAGATTGTCAGTCCGCTGAGGCTTCGTGTTGGCTTTGGTTTGTTACGGATTTTGTCGTGAACCAGCCGCTACATCTACATCCAAATGGTAAGAGAGAGAGAGAAAAAAAAAAACCTGCCTTATATTTTACCTATTTAGTGTAGAATCGGTTCACAGCACATTAGCAGCTGCAATCTGTTTTTTTTTTAAACACGCAAAATGAATGTGAAAAATACGTAACGTCGCCAGTAGCTGAGTTGTCTCCTGACTGTGTGCTGTAACGAACCGCGCCGATTAATAAGACAGCTTGCTAGTTGCTAGGTAATGCTAGCTCGATAGACGGAGCTAACGGTAGCTAGCTAACTTTAGCGCTTCCCTAGCTACCGTTTACCGCCAATTCGGAAACCCATTCATTGTCTATTGCGAAGTTTTGCGTCATCGAACGTTCGAACTCGGACCGTTCGAATTCGGATTCGGGCCGTTTCGAACTCGGAACGTTCGACCCGCACGTGTAGATACATTGTTTCCGCGTTCTGCCGGAGTTCGGTGAGACGTTAGCTAACCGGAGCGTTAGAATGCCTCCGTTTCGCGCGGATGTAACAGTCACAGCGGCTGTTACAGTTACAGTAGCCTCCAGAGTTACTGTCAGCGGGGGAAAGAAGTGTTTGCGGCATTTTAAATAAATGGGCGGCCCTAGCGTTGAGGCCAACCGTAAATAATTCGGATGGCCATTAAACGGGGCAGCACACTAAATCTAAACATTGAAATCTTAATATGCACAAGCAAGAGCTGAAGGGTTTAAAAAAAAGGTGAAATATGTGACTAAACAGCGTTATAATGAGGTTCTGTAGTGCTGCAGAGACTCCCTGGCCTACAAATCTTTATCTAAAGATGTAAGAAAACATGTATGTTTGGTACTGACCCCCCCCCCCCCAAAAATTATTGTTTGTGATGAAAAACGTATAATTCTCGCAATAATGGTGAGTCATATCGCAGTATCTGTTAAAAGAGTCGTAATATGTTTTTGCCCTGTTGACAGCCCTGCTATTAAAGTTGTTAAATTTTTGCTGCTTGGCCTGATATTAATGACTCAATCTTGTATTTCACAGGCTGACCAGCTTACAGAAGAGCAGATTGCCGGTAAGACATGGCTGCATTGATCTACTACTGTCCTCATATCCTGCAGAGTGGCCTGCGTTATGGATCCTTGCAGTGGATTTATACTTTTGCCTTTTAAGGCATTCCACAGGGCAGCCTACAGGTCATAAAACAGGAATGAATGAAACGGCTGTTGCTCGCTGCCTCTGGAGTGCACAAGGACTCCTCCATGGAAAACTTTGCATTTTCATGGTTGCCATGTAATAAATGATGTAATCTAGAAGGGCTGTTTTCTGCTCAGGTGTTGGCAGGCACCTCTCTACACGCTGTGTCCTTTGCCCTGGGTGTGTTCTCCTTAGATGGAATGCTTTAAGAACGACCGCAAGAGCCAACTTGGACTGACATGAGACTCAGACGTTATGTTGGCTCATGCAGGAGGTGTGGCTGAGGCTGTGAGCTCAGGGACGCTCGCTGTGTGCAGTTGTCTGAAATGTGGCAGTCGTGGTTTCCTCGAGAATTCAGCTTAGCTCTCCTCTTTCACAATATGCTTAACATTCTCTTGTATTTCATGGTATCAGCAGTTAGTGGCTGAAGCCCTGCTTGATAAACATCTGTCATGCTGATGTGTGCCATTTTCCTACACTGTCAGTTTGTACAGAGTAAAGTGTTCTGTTGACTTGGGAGGAAATGAACAGGAAGTGTGGGCAGTGTGGCTTTAATGGCCTGTACCAGAGGAGTGCTGCTGCTGCAGACAGCAGAAGGGTGTTGCCCTGTGTGTTTGACCCTGCAAACGGCAGGGCAGGTTGGAGTTGTTCTGACGCTGACAAGCTGCTGCATGCCACTACACGCTGCCCAATGGCCTCATCACACTTGATGAGTGTGTCACGGTTGCTCGTCCCTCACGGCTGCACCAACCCACACAGCCTGTGATTGGCTGCTGCTGTAGCCTCGCTGCCCTTCTGCCCGGTCTCGTGGCCGCTGTCCTTGTTTAGCCAAAAACGACTGCAGTTGGGACTCCAAACAGAAGGGCTCATCAGCCTGCTGTCGCTAGTTTCTGAGTGAAACATGAGTGATGTAATGCCCTTTTAAGTCTGGAGCTAATTCAGGGTTTAGGTCGGGTGATTGGCAGACTGAGCGTAAGATGAAGGGTTTGCTGTGCAAGGTGGGCTGACAGCCCCTCAGTGATCTACAGCTGCTGCATATCCAACTACAGGTGTGACCTCTCGCCTTACTAAAGAAGCCAATGTCTTATTTTCTGCAACCAGAGTTCAAGGAGGCGTTTTCGCTCTTTGACAAGGATGGAGATGGCACCATCACCACCAAAGAGCTGGGCACAGTGATGCGCTCTCTGGGCCAGAATCCCACAGAGGCAGAGCTGCAGGACATGATCAATGAAGTGGACGCTGATGGTGAGAACTCGCTCCGGCCTCTGAACCTGCTGAACCTCACTGTGCAGACTGTGGCGCTGCATGGGAAACTCCTCATAATGCCTGTTTTTGTCTCCAGGAAATGGAACGATAGACTTCCCAGAGTTCCTGACCATGATGGCCAGAAAGATGAAGGACACAGACAGCGAGGAGGAGATCAGAGAAGCATTCCGCGTCTTTGACAAGGTAAACGCCGTCTGCGCTCTCACACACGTGCGTATGTAAAGCAGTTGTTGGTGCATTTGCTTACTGACTGATGCTCTTTGCAGGATGGTAATGGATACATCAGTGCTGCTGAGCTGCGCCACGTGATGACAAACCTCGGGGAGAAGCTGACCGACGAGGAAGTGGACGAGATGATCAGAGAAGCAGACATCGACGGAGACGGACAGGTCAACTATGAAGGTTGGTACACGTGGTGGTTTTTCTGTCCACATTGGGTCTGCGTGGGTCACTCCTCGGATACTGAGTCGCAACATCTTCTCTCTTCCCTGCAGAGTTCGTACAAATGATGACGGCGAAGTGAAGGCCTTGTACAGATTTCGTATATAAATAATTTGCCTTTTTTTCTTTGTGTAATTTATCTGTAAAATCTTAATAGCCCCCCTTCGTCCCTGCCCCTTCTGCTGTCCAAAGGAACTGCATGTAAACTGCATAGGCTCTTGTCCCCATGTCCCTTTCTTTTGCTGTCATGGTGTTTTGGAGTGACGAAATGGTCATACAACCAGATGCCTGTGGAGGCCCCTGGGAGCCGGAGAACTTCGAATCTTCCCGTCTTGTGTGCTCGGGGCCCCTCCACGCATGGCGACATTGGAAACCTGTCGGCTCGTTGTCACTTGGCAACACTGTTGGCATGGAAACAATGTAGAGGAGTTTTAACTCTGCATGGACTACGGACAAAGTATATATGGGAATCTCTCAGCATTGCACTACTGCAAAAAAATGACACGGGTGTATCTCCTAGGTACTCGTACAAACTCTTTTTGTATCTGCTGTTCTATATACCAGAAAACGACTAATCTTAACCATGCTTTTTAATGTTTTACTCACTACTTTTAATTTTCTTTCTTTTAGTTTCTCTTTTTTTTTTTTTTTTTTTTTTTTAAATGACCGCTGGTCATGCCTCAAATAATCCATTCCAAGTTGTATATTTTTGTTTTCCAATAAAATTTACAATCTACCCGGATTTGAAAATTGTCTTGTTTTCTCAGTTCTAATGGATCCTTGAGTTTGTATACCCTGTAATAATTCCCATTTTTGTATTGAGGACAGGATGCTCCGTTTTTGATAGGACTTTTTTTTTTTTTTCCTCCTTGTTGCTTAGAATACATATGAAATGTTTACCATTTTAAATTTGAAGTATCCCCTGTTAATTCCCAAAAGCACTGAGGAGCATCAGCCAATGCCTCTTAATGTTCAGATAAGCTCAGATCAAACCTGTATTGTCATTAAAATAAAAGCACTGAGTGGGATCAAAGGCTTCTATTTTGAAGTGCACGCGATGGTACTCAACATTGGATTAGCCTTGTACTGTCCAGCTCCCCTACTGACTACATAGGCCACATGTTGTCTGCTGCTGTTGGCACAGCACCATGTAGAAGCTGCCTCATGTCTTATTTGGCGTTTGCCCCCTAATGACGAGGTGCAGGTGATGAGCGTACATCAGAAACCATGGTGTAAATAGAGGTGTACCTGTTGTTGTTTTGTTAATTTCTGATTATTGAGTTTGTTACAGTAGCTTGCAGAGATACTAAGTTTGTTTTGATGAATGACAAAATAAAGCTCTATTGTGGACCTCTGTTCTGCCTCCTGTGAGTTTTATGGGCCCTTGATCCTATGCAGTGGTCGGGCTAACACTTTTATGATGCTAAACTAGAACAAAAATAATAAATATTGTTTTATGAAGTCATGTGATGTGGTTATGACTGTTGGCAGTAGTAAGGCCTGTTCAGTCATACACATATAAGGTAACCTGTCCTACACAAAGAATGACTTATAGTACCCCCTGATTGGATGTTCCTCAGTCTTTCAGTGTGTAGTTAAACGTGAGTGCATTATCTCTTTCCCAGTCTGAACAAACTCAGTTCCAAGACGTAGAACAGACAGGAACACCACGACCAACAGCAACTTCAGGTGTGAATTGATGACACAAGTGGCTCTCATCTTGTCAACACCAATTATCACAAGACATTTTAAAAACTCGCAGTTGAAGTGTCTTCAGTCTACTTATAAAAAACTGTTAATTACACGGCACATGTAAACTCTAGTGCCGGCCCTCCTCTTCCTCCATACAGGGCCGTACCATCAGGTACTGCGATGAAGACGAGGGAGACGTACAGCACATAATAACCTCAGACAACAGCTCCTTTGTCTGTCTGTTTTCTCTCTCTCTCTCTGTGTGTGTGTGTGTGTGTCTCGTCATGTGCTCACAGGTCACATGAGACTTCCTCAACAAGCGGTGTAAACTTGGCTCCTTTGAACTATGTGTTCCATGTAGCTTAGCAACGAGGCCCGAATGTGGAGCTTTTGCTCCCAGAGCGAGGTGTTCACTTCAGGTGATGGTCTTTAGTTCGGTCCTACTGAGAGTGTGTGTGTGTGTGTGTGTGTGTTTGTGTGTGACATCACTCCTCAGCCTCGTATGCCACAGGAGGTAAGACACTTCAAACTTCACGCACAAATAAGAGGGTTAGTTGGAAAGATTTTTTCAGGGTGAGCATCACATTTTGTTTCTCAACTGCCTGATTTGAAGAGCCCACTCTTCCTAAGTACACACAACTACACTCATGTCGAGTACCAAGTAGAAGCTGAATGGTGAGAATTGTGTTTTATGTCGTCTTGTTTCATTAACATCGGTCAAAGGAGAGAAAAAATGTAGTATAATAGAAATATTCCACATTTTACTGCATCCAAAAACTTTATATATCACCAGTGTTAGGCAGTTACTATTACTAGTAGTAATATTACTTTCCCCAGTAACTAGTAGTGTAATTTATTACCAATACATTTCAGTATATTTATTTGTGTTATCGTGGAGGAAAGTAGTTTAACCAAGCCTATTAAGTCTGTATGATTGTTAAAAATGATTTATGTAATTGTATAAAAAAGTTACATAAACACTAAAACAGTACTGTTTTCTCATCTCTTGTGCTTGGTCATTGATTTATTAGACTATTAACTTTACATTCAGAGGTTGCGAGGCCTTCTTGATTTTAAGGTGTGTAGGAAAACTTTAAAAAAATGTACACAGTAAGCGTATATCATCATCCTGCAATGAAAAAATACACAGTTATAACAACCAAAGAGCTAACAGAATAAGCATCAGGGAGAAGAAAACTGAATTGAATGTTAAAAAAGTTTACACAAACGTCCTTCACTTATTGACAGTTGTTCTCTACTGTGACTGTTATGCATTGAATATAATCTGAAATAGTCAACGTCTACCTGAAGGTAAAAGTTCACATTCTCTGTACGGTGGGTGACATTTGGAGGAATGAGACATGTATTCCTGTTTTTTGTTTTGTACTGGAACTCAATGTCAGCCTTTTAATCTATATATTCTAATCAATACCACAGTATCCCTCCAAATATCACACGACGGTGGCTGATGGCAGTGAGGACTAAGTGCAGCATTGTACAGTACATACGGGTGCTGGCTTGCCATTGTGTCTTTACTCTCAGTCGAACTGGTCGGTGAGTCTAAATTTAGCCCTCCACCAGGGCCAGCTTGTTGAAAAATTGATCGATAGTGGAGTCGCTGCTATAGTAACAGTCGCAGTTTTAATGGCGGTCAGGTGTCACCGGATCTCCAGTCAAGCAGATAGAGAACGACAGTGAGTGCGGCGCAGTGTACCGCCAGGTGGAAAAACCAAGCCGTCTCTAAAGTCACTGACATGTCCAGGGGTGGTAATAGAACAGATAAGGTAAGGCTCTTTAAAGCCCCTCATGACTCTGTGTGCTTGATGAGGACTGGTAAAGCATGGGATGATACATGTGGAGACACATCAACACATTGTTGGCATAGCAGTGTCCTCATAGCAGTAACTATCTGCTGTGTCTCGGCTTGTCTCCTGTTCTTATCTGCAGGGTGATGACAAGGTGGACCTGTGTGGCCGGGGGAGCTGGTGGCTGGGAACACTGAAAGTAGGTGTCGTACTGCAGTGTGGTGTCTACAGGAGGAGAGGCTGCTACGTTGGCTGCTGTGGCCTAAAATGCTCCCCACTGCCATTAATAGTGGCTCAGTATTAGCTCGTGTAGATATACTCGGTTTTCAGTTAATGGCTTTTATTGCATTGGAATATCCCATTGTCTGTGTCTGCCAGAAGTACATTTATACACCACAGTGAGTCCAGAAGTGCATTACAGTGCATTCATGGCAATGATGCATAGAACTAATTAATTATCAGTTAATGTGATCCCAGACTCAGTTGTTAATCAGCTGCCTACTCTTTCTATGAATGAATCCTATACAGCTAACAATAGACTCACAGCTTCTGACACACTCAGAGTCAAGAGTTTTTAATAGTACCATAAACCAGATGCTTAAAAATAAATAAGCCTCAAGTTAAAAGCTTCTTCTTGCACTCTAAAAGGATTATGGGAAATAATATTTGACCAAGTCTCGCCACTGGTCTTTTAAGTAAGCTAACAGATAACTTTCTAGCTAATCTACGTTAATTGTTAGCTAGCGTTTTGCTCTGTGACTGAATTAAGAACCCTGGAAGGGTGAATTGTATTTGGCTAGGTATTAAAATTTTAATTTCAAAATAATACGAAGAGTTTAACTCCTCCCCTAACTTCTCTCCTCTCACCTTCTTCCAGGCCACACCCAACCCAGGTCTCTATCACATCCGCGACTTCATCGAAGAGGCTGAACTGAACCCGGTGAGGAAGACCTACGGGTTCAAAGGGGTGGGCAGAAAAGCCCAAACTCTGGGCGTATGTAACGGGGATCTGCTTCTACCTGGCGCTTATAACTACACCGACTCCATCCAGGAAGTCCTGAAGCGCCAGGCGTCCTACTCTTTCAAAAACTGTCCACGGCCCGACATCGCCACCCTGGGCACCAGGGACAAGGTGGGGCTCAGACATGGTTTTACTGATTGTGTCAATTGACTACAAAGTAAAGGAGTGCTTTAGCTTAGCATTTAGCGATGGCTTCCCGTCACTCTAGGTGTCAAATGTTTAGCTATTCCTCTGCCTCCTCTAGCTATAATACACATAATGTGTATTTTCTGTGCTGGGTGAAAGGCTAGAAGCTACCACGCAAGCTGAATCGTTAGCTACTATAGCCGATGTAGCTCTTCTTTTTAGATTTAGTGCAAATCCCCCTCTCTGCGGCCGAGTTGGGTTGTGAACTTTTGGTTATCATTACCACACAGTTGTTGAATTATAATAATTTGAATAATTTCAACTTGACCTACATTTCATTTTCAATCGTTTAAAGTGGCGTTATAAAATCGATTGTAGAATATTTGTAGACAACGATGCACCTGCAGCGGACTAACTGAAGTAATGTTAGAGATGTAACGCACAGCGGGCTCGCAGTGATAATGTCATGAACATTTAAACACTTCTTTATCTTTATTCCAGCACTTAACCACTTCACCCTGCGACTACAATGTGACAGCAAAACCAGTGGAGAAGATTCCCTGCAAGTAAGCACTCGACAAACAGCCTCTCTTTAACTCTCAGATCATCAATCATCCCTTCATCCTCCTCACGCAACTTCCCTCTCTCATCTCCTCACAGCACAAAAATGGAGGAGCAATCACCAACCTGCTCTCTCAATTTCTTTGCCTGTGATCATGCACGTCCTTTCTTCCCTCACCCTTCTCCCCCCTCACTGTTCTCTCTCTCTCTTTTTGACCGCCACTCCTCCCTCCCTCCCTCTCTCTTCTCTCTTCTTGCAGCCATGTGATGTTTCGGTCCACCGTGCAGCGGATCAGCTTTCCACCTGTAAGTATCCAGTCACCAAAACTAGTTATTAGGACCTTTCAGTCTTTCCATTGCCCACAAAAAGGCTTCATTACAAAACACTTTCAATAGGTTTTGGTTACAAGCTATGACCTAATGTGCATCTGCTATGTGCTGTACAGAAGCTGGTTATGACAAGGGTCAAAGAAAACTGATCCCACAGGGTGTCTGATTGTATCATTTGCCCCATTTGGGGGCCTGTTATGGCACTGTGCTAGCTGACCAGTCAGCTTTGGTTCATATTGCAGCCTTAGCCGTGTGTCCATGCTGGTAGCTGATGGATATTTGAGCCGTGCTGGCAGCTGCTGAGTGTTGACAGAGAAGGAAAGGCGCAAAGAAATCCCGAGGGTGTTATTACTGTAGAGTTGGGAGCAGTTTTCTGCTGTTAGTGGTGTCACAGCGACTCTTAAGACAAGTATATTGTCAAAGGTTAAGCAGCTACACAAATCCCGCAGTGAAGTTAACTGAAAGCGCAATTCATTCAGACAGCTGACCTGACGGAGGTGGACAGACGTTAGCGGTTCAAAATTGAAGCGTCTTAATGGTTTAGTCTTGGTCCATCCTTAGATGGGAGACTTTCTGCTTTCCTCCCGTGAGCTGAAGATGTTTACGAACACAATACAAAAGATGATTTGACTTAATTTCTCCGTCCTGGGGCCACAGTGTGTCCTAGATTTACATGTTGTGCTTTTGTTTGTTGCAAATATCGACTGCACATGCTGCTCGCTAGAGCAACAAACCCTCCCTCGAAATTCAAACCTGAAAGTAAATCCCAGACATTTTCATATGAATACACGTCCTCCTCTGCATTGCTAAAGCACAGAAGTGGTTCAATCTTTAATTACTGCTTGAAAACTTGATTGAAAAACCAGCTTTCTTTCAGTTTCTACTACTACTTCTACTGTTGGTCTTTGGTCTGTCAGTTGGTGCACCACTGTTGTCCAAACTGAAATATCTTAACAACTACTGGATGAATTGCTATAAATTTTGCACCGACATTCATGTCCCCCAGTGGATTGATCCTAATGACTTTAGTGATCCCATGATCCTCTACCACCTGCATGAAGGTTGATATTTGCGTTTTTAAGCCTGTGTTGTGGCCAAATTAATGCTACAGTGAGAGGAAAAGACACATGAATGGATTTTTATATTTTATTAAGGTGTTTAAGTAATGAATTGAAAACTATAATTATTTGTTTGGCAAGAATGAGTAACAGAAAACAAAACAGTGTAAGGTTACTGTAATAAATAGATAATAAAAATATGCAGAGGTACCTAGGTATATTTTCTGACAGCCTGATGTAGTCTAGGCTAGATCTGAAATAAATAATTTAACATTAAAGCAAACAGACTGTGGCCTGAAACCACAAAATAAGACAGAGAGAGAAACTAATAACTAAATAAATAAATACATACAATACACACACTCTCTCTTTGATGTACACAAATACTATTTAGGCAGGTACCAGGTTAGGCAAATTGTGAAAATCAATAATATCTCATATTAATGTTATAATTTTCCAGTTGATTTAACGCATGAAATATCTCCAGATCAAAAACGGGTCAAAGTTTTAAAGTTTCAGACGTTTAGTCCATGTGCCAGTTACCTACGCCACACAGGAGAGCGTTGCTAACGTGCTGTGCCACAGCAGGAAAGTAGGCCAGGTGCTTTTGGCTCAAACACACACATACACTCGTGTTGAGAGAGTTTCACTACTGTCCGTTGGCTCCCGTGAAATACACCTGCATTAGCACCTCTGGGAGCATCAGGCAAGCGCGCGGGCGCCCAGCGAGGCCAGTTGCTGAGGATCAAGTTAACTGGCAACTGGGATCAAATGGCATGTAATGGTAGCAGCCGTCCCTCGAGGAGCAGGGGTGAGAGGAAGAGACACCTTCCTGACTCCCTCTGTCAGAATCAGAGAGCAGCTGAAAATGAAAGGCTGGTCCTGTGTTCAGGGACAGGGAGACAGTTTTATGTCTGAGGAGGAGGGGGTGATTCTATTTCTGCATGGCACGCCGCTGGTGATGACCAGTATGTGTGTTAGTGGGTAAGAGGAAAGGAGAAGTGAAAGGCAAGGAGAGAGACTGACTTTTGACAGAGCCAAACCCTAAACACAGACCACGTAGGTGGAAAGAAACCACAACACAACCAGAGACCAGCAAAGGCCTCAAAGACAGGAGTCAGATGATGTGTCATAGGTCTTAAAAATATTGGCATGGGATCTAAAATAGATCTGGTAGTATATTGTTAGCGCATCCTTCAGATGACTTGAGTATCAGCATGGTAGAACAATAGGTTTCCATGAGTTTATGGGTCCAAGGGAGACATAATTAATCCCTCATTTGGCTCTAAAAATGTCAGAGGTCATGATGCACAGTGCACGCCTACGCCATCACGGTTTGTTTGCACTCATGTTGGGTGTACTCTGTCAGCTGGTTATGTTTTGATACTTAGAGGGAAAACCAGACAATATTCTCTCCATAAAATATGATACAGTTTCACCCAAATCACGGATAAAGTTGTGTGTTTGTACAGTAATCAGTGATTACGGTAGCTAGATATGCGGTTAGCTAGCTAGCTAACTAGAAAACTTTGCTCTGTGTCGTTACAAATTGAAGACTGACGGGTGAATGTCAGTATATTATTGGTTGAATACTGCAACATATTGAGGGTCAGGTGTATCATGTTCAGATAAAGTTACAGGGACTACAATCCCAATGGTTTTAACCCGCTGCGTTACCAAACCAGATCCAACTAGAAGGGCAAGTTTAACTCTCAGTGGTAACAAAAGTGAAAATATGTGAAGTGAAATGTATCCGCCCTGTGGTTTGGATCAGCTCCAAAACATTATAGGTTGTTCCTTCACCCATGCTACACCCTTCCATTAAATGTCAGGGATATTGGGACAGTAGTTTTTCCTTCTGACAGACAAACAAGCACCAAAAACATGAAATCGTTGGTGGAGGTAATAAACGAGCTACTTGCTACAAACAAAAAGCTATTTTTTACTGACATTTTCAATAACAGCGCTGAACAAGTAAATGCAGAAGAAAAGCTACTTGTGCTCAACTCGGTCTACAGCTTGATCATAAATCGATTAATCAATAGCTTTTCACTCTGTCCACCTTAGAAGGAGGGACCTGCTCCATGCCACTATAATCCACAGACCAGACCAGCGAAGGGCATCACTTCCTGCTTCAAATCCAAGTTGCCACGGCTCCACTATGTGCACTCAGTGAGTCCAGTACTTGAGCTACATCTCTGTCACCTTGTCCGTGTATCATTAGTAGTTGTAGGTTTATATTGGTTCAGCTGCTTTATGGCATTTAAATAGTAATTATTAGTGTCTCGCTGTTCAGATAGCTACAGCACAGGTACCACACAGAAACTTGGGTGTGGTTTCGCTTTACAGAGATCATTTATGAGTATAAGATCATTGGAACATCACCATTACATAACAGGATGCAATAAAAACACACTTTACTGTACACAGATAAGAATATAGAGGACAGACAACCAGAGATATCCAATGACTTCAGCACTTAGGAATTTATTCTGTAAACACGTTACAACATAGGCTATAAGAGAGAGTTTTTTTGTATTTTACTGTGTGTGTGTGTGTGTGTGTGTGTGTGTGTGTACGACAGAAGACCCCGGGACCAGGTTTTTTTGTATTTTACTGTGTGTGTGTGTGTGTGTGTACGACAGAAGACCCCGGGACCAGGGGCCTATGAACCTTGCTGGAAGTTGGGCGACCGTCTGAACGCAGAGGCCGTTGACCCATCATTTAGCCTCTTCTTCCGCAACACTCTGTAGTTTGGACTTTATTTCCCACAATGCCTTCATCACACCAACCATCTCCTCGCACTCATCAGCTTACTGGCACATCACACACACACACACACACACACACACAATGACAACTCCTACCTGATTAATGGAATAAAAGTAAGCTCATGAAGAGAAATTAAAAAAGTCTCTTATTACTTGGACCATTGTTTATATCTGCATGCCAGTGGGGCATTTTGTGGTCTGCCAGGGACATAATAAGCCACATTCGTTGGGCTCAGATTGCTTTAGTGATGCCGGCCAGGGAAGCAGAATGATCTTATCTGCAACAAAGGGTACTTCATTCCACTTAACTACATGTTCCCGGTATTGCTCTCTCCCTACATCTCTCCAGCTCCTCTTTCCCTCTCTGTCGGCAGTCAGGCTGCTTCGCCTTCCTACTATCTCTGCCCCGCGATGCACTCAGGAGGAGGAATGCTGCTCAGCCATGCGTCACATGCACATAGCTTAGTGTGGCATGCTGCACCCTCAGATAACACATTCAAGCATTAGGGGCCAAGGCAGTGGCACACAATAAAACAGCTATTCTTATCGCTACCTACTCCGCATTACTCTTTCTTTTTTCGACGAACCAAACAAACACGGTCAATAATGTTCGGGCCACGGAGAGCAGCAGCGATAGGAATCAACGGCGGCGGTGTGCGTTTCAGCGCAACAGGGGATAGATAGGGAAATAAAAACAAACAAAAGTTTATTTATTTATCCAGAGAAGGGTTTTTGCTGAGCATGCATGCACTCTGTCAGCACTGCTTCATATTCATAGAGTTAACACACACTGTTAGACGGTTGTTGAGGGAGTGGAGAGTTATATTCATCCATCCTGCCCACCCGAGCTCTGTACTCTGATCCGAGGATGAAAATATGAACAGAAATAATCAAAGCCTGCTTTCTTAAGCTTTATTTTAGTGTTGTATTGATTTTAGAGTGTGAATAATCACCCATAGCAACAAACACAGCAAAATGCCATTAACAAACAATAATGTAGCTGCTCCACTGACAGAAAATGACTTTAATGGGAGATCTGAACATATTTTTGAAATCATTTGGATGCAGCCACTCAACTAGAGTCTCTATAATCTGCTAAGTCTCTTCCCAAGTCATCATCAATGGAGCAGCTTGCTGTATAGCCCCATCTGTGACCTGTTTTCCAGTAACATAATGCCTCTTCTTCTCAGCTGGATGTACGTTAAAGGTGTACTCATCAATATTTTGATACTAATGGATTAGATGACTTTGTGTAATGTGAAAGCTGTGATTGAACTTCAGATAATTATCAATTATTAATTATCTCTATGGAGTATTTTAGTCTCAGCGCTCTCATCAGCCTTGTTTCAAGCTGCAACAGGAATTCTGTATTTTAAATGAAAAAAAGCACAGAAATGAAACTCCACATGAACGCTAATCTTTCTCTTCTGTGTCTGGTGGATGCCAACTCAGCATTTCCTACACGTCCTGGAAAACCTGGATATTTAGAGACTAGTTTTCCAGTCATGGAAACACCTGGATAACCATTAAAATGACCAAATATCCTGGACATATTCTATGTTGCCCTGGAAAATTTTAATTGTATTTAAGCCCCTCACTCAGATCACCTATGTAAAGGTTTAAGAAATCTGCAGTAAACTGTAGTCAAATCACGGGAGATAGAAAGTGAGCTAAACACTTTAAACACCTGTAATGAACCTGCATCACTTCATTGGGAGTACGGCATCATTAAAAAAGGAGGAATAACACTGGGAAACGTGTGTAAACTAGGCCTATTAGTAAATTATTTGAATACAAGTGCTGCCATGGATTGTCAAGAAAAGTCCTGCTAGTTGCTACCTAGCATATATAGCAGGCCGTAACAGTGGACTTCATATAGTGAAGAAGTGACAAAGAAGTCTATGTTTTTAGTGAAATTCCTGCACGGTTTGTGGAAATTCTGGATTTAGATGCTGGTTTCACCCATTTTGCACTAACTAGACATCTGAGAGATCACAAAAAGATCTTTGGAGATGCAACCTGCTGGTAGATAAAAGGTACCTTTCTTAATCCAAGGTTTCAGATTGGAAAAAACTTGTGACCGAATCAACAGAGCGATGAGCTGACAGGTGAGTTTGTAGCTTTAGCAAAGAGTTGTTCATATCCACATAACATACCTCAAACCACGTCCACTGGTGGGTCAGCATTCCTAAACCTTGGAGGGGGTTGTCTCTTACTGGAGGGCGCTTCAACAAGCTGAACATTGACATAAAACATGGGCTAGACTAAATGCAGAGGCTCATTTCAATAACAATTTGTTGAAACGTGTGTTACATAATGAGGCATTCAAATGACTTCTTAACACGTACTGACATCAGTGGAGTGTTTTGTTTGAGACCACAGTCAGTGGAACAGACCGTTATCGCTGCACATCTACTTTAATCCCCAGCACTCTGTTTTCCTTCAGTTGCCGACACTTAAGAGCTTGAAGAGGTTCAAGAGCCAGGCTCTTATTTCCCCCCGTCATTATTCTGGAGACAAAGGGAGCGCACACTTCCTCCTGGAGAGGAAGACAGTGTTATTAACATAAGGGGCTTTGCATGCACTGCTTGTGAGGAAGACGCAATGAGAGCAATGTGTGTGTGGTCAAGGCATCAAGCCACCCCCAGTAATCTCTGTCTCTTTCTCAACCCCCCAGCGCCCTTCCTCCTTTCTCATCTCAGTGATCTCCACAGTCCAGCACTGATCTCTGACATATGCCTCATACTGACGACTTAACACCCTCCATCTCCCACAGCCTGCCTCGACCACAGGCACGGCCGGGCACCCGCTCTTTCACTGTCAATCAAGCTCCCCCACCCACCACCCGCGACTCCCCGTAGACTTACATTGCTTCAAAGAATACGCTCGCAGCCGCGCAATGCAATGAATGCAACACGCAGGCATGCACTTGTGATCCTTCCCTTTTTTTAAAAAAAAACGCAGCTGCAAACGTGTGCACATGTATGCTAATTTCTCAAAGGTTGTACGGGCTAGTAGAGACATCAAAACTTCCTATTTAAAAACGTATAAAACCTCCACAGAGAGATGAAAGCTTGCATCCAAAGCTGCAGAGACTCTAGGATTGTAAGGCACTGCACAAACACCTACCACACACACATTATCTTTCATCTGCGGTTGCGTTTCCTGGCAAGAACAGTGATTTAAGATGTGCCGGCACAGTTGAATTATTACCATGTAAAGGTTATGAGAACATCTGGGTAGGTTGCAAACATCAACTTTCAGTTTTTTGGGAACGACTTTAATGAGATCCGGTCGGCCTCATCTGGGTCCAGATTAAATCTGTGTTTCTGGCAGTTTACAACGGGAGGTGACCCTGCTACTCAAGGACATCAAATTAACGGCTAACTCGGGGCAGCACGCTGAGAAAATGTGACCCTGCTGCAGAATGATGACGAAGGCAGAGCCGCTGGAATTTCCGAAGAATGCGAGGTTAACACAAAAATACCCATAATCCAATACTGGTGTGGGACAAATGCCATTATCAGTTGCTGAGTCGCAGCTAAAGGTCGCCAAACAAACAAACCCTCAAACAGAGAAGCCATTGTTTGCTCGCTGACATTGTGCTGAACTAAAATGGCCTCCCGGTGTCACAGAACCGGTCTGACTGAAGTCTCCCTTTCTCCCTCGCTGTATAACATGAGCACCTTGAGAAACTTCAGCCAGCGGTAACAGGGTCAAACAAAGAGGTGGCGGGTTCAAGAGGTGCTGCTCCCTTCATGTTCCCCCTCAAAGTCCGGGTCACATTCACTCTCATCACCACATCCCACACTGAGGGTGATGACTAGCCAGCTGAGGAATTTAGTGGGCAGTGTGACAACGCCAGTAGGGTTACCAGGTATCCTTTTACCCCCCTCAAGCCGCTGACAGACACATCGGAGCAACATTACGCTTCTATTAAATGACATTTAAAAGTTTAATCAGCTCCAATGGCCGACTGTTAGCGAACAAGGGGGTCATTGTTTAAGTGGGTAATGGTGCTGGCAGCGTCGCTGTGTGTGTGTGGAAGTCGACCAAGAGCGCCGGCGGCCACGATCAGGTGCGCTGGAGTGATTGATGGAAGAGAGCACACTGCCAGGCCCGAGCTGTCGTTCGTACTGTGCCGTTACTCGGCCCTGGTGCTTGACAATGTCAGCCTCATAAAAGAGCCTCAGAGCGTGTCCTGAAATGAGGCTGATGGTGGCAACAATGTGAGAATCATTCATATCATTAAACGCGGTCATCAGAGCTGCTCGTGGCTTTCACAGCAAAGGGACGCTTTGTTTCCGTGTGACCTTTTGCCCTTTTGTTATTCACAGCTTTATGATATTTTATACAGTGGTACAAAACCTTCCAAGGCATAGTTATTCACTTTGTTGTTAGAGTTAAAAGGTTGACACCACTCTGATGTATCTGAAGCTAAAGCCAGGAGACAGCTAGTTAGCTTAGCTCAAGAAATAATCTGGTACATAAACTCCCCCTCCAAACCTTTAACTTGTACATTTTACACAAACAGGATTTAACATGTTAATTAGAGAGCTTTTAATGTGCTGGCAGGTGTTTTTTAAAACTTTTTACGGTGAAAATGAAGCTACAGCCAGTAGCCAGTTAGCTTAAAGTGGAAATAATCCAGCACATAATCCACCTTTAAAACATGTTATTTGTACAGTTTGTGTATGAATTACACAAACAGGATATAACTTGTTAATTAGAGAGCTTTGGATGTTCTGGTAGGTTTTAATGAAATAACTTTTTATGGTGAAAAGAGCTTTAAGATTGACAGCTAGCTAGCTCATATCAATATATAGTGCGGGACATAGCCCCCCTCCAAACTATTAATTTGTACAGTTTTTGAACAAATTACACAAGCAGGACATAACATATTAATTAGAGAGCTTTGGATGTGCTGGTAGTAAACTTTTTATGGTGAAAAATTAAGCTAAAGCTAATCTGGTTATCTTAAAGTGGCACAAAGACTGGAGAAAGGGAAAGAGAAAGCTTGGCTCCTTATTAAGTTATAAATCTGTTTGTTTGATTTGTGGAAAAGCTAAAGTATTAAAACAACAAGTGTTTATGGAAGGTTAATTATCAGGCAGTGAATTCCACAAATAGTTATTTTTACTTTCCAGTTTTTGTACGTATTAGACAAATAATATATAATGTGTTCATTAGAGAGCTTTAGAAGTGCTGGTAGGCTATCTTTTCCACTAAGATAGATAACTGTCTGTAGCTTCATATTTAGCAGACATGATATCAATCTTCTCATCTAACTCAAGAAAGAAAATATGTAATTTCCCACAATGTGAAACTAGTCTTTGAACCTTTCCCACCTGTAAAAATTACATTCATGGATTTTATGATGATGCATTTGTATTATAGCCTATATCGACTGCGGTAGATGTAATGTCGTAGCCATAAATATCAGCTGTAACCAGCGGATATAAAGTAAGTCTATGAAATTACTGTAAAAAAGAAAAATCCATTCACAAATCTTTGTTAAAGTCCTTAAGTCATGTCATGAGTATAAAGTTTTAAAAAATATTATAAGCTAGTTTTCTAAAGCATTTCTGAGAATATACTGCATTCAGTCCTCACCTAAAGGTGATTCTCACAGCCTTTTGAATACATCCTCTTGTCAACGTGTGCATTGAACTCCGCTGGAACACATTTGCCCCTTGGGGATGAACTATGTATACATCTAACCGTACCAGTCATTTTATTTATAAATGAGATTATGGAACCACATCTGATCCTCATAACCTCCATCACACCCCTCACCCGTCCATGACTCCCCGGCCTTGTTTGGACATCACAATGATGGTTTATGGTTTCCTTCTTGGCACCCGGCACCGGCACCACTCAGCCCGTGCCCTCCACGTGCCCCTGCAGGGTTGGCATCAACACACATCGCTGTGACGTGAATACCAGGCGAGCTTCACTCAACGCACTCACCGCCCTTTGATTATCGGTTCTTTGTTTGTTATTGATCATTTTGCGAACATCATAGGTTAGGAATTGGTTGGTATTGGTTTTTAGAATAATTTTTTATTAAATACTATTGTTATATATGTTATTGCTGTATTTTATTGTAATTTTATCATTGCATTTTATTTTTAAGTCTACTTTATAACATTTTCACTCCATTCTGTCTTATTATCGTCTTGTCAGTCATCCGTGAAGCACTTTGAACTGCACTAAACTGTATGAAATGTGTAAATAAAGTTTGATTGATTGAGGAGTTTATTCTGACAGTGATGCACAGTATGCTAAATAATAGAGTAGGACTAGGAACGTTTATTTTACGTGTATTATCTGAACTGAAATTAATGATATTGTGCAGCCGTCAGTGCCGTGTAAGAATAACATTATCACCCTCATACACAAATCATACATCAGTAGTAGCCTAAGTTTACAAATCATCTATGATGATGAAGATAAAAATAGAAATGCATATTGCCAAACTTTCCCAGCTCGGGTGTTATTAAGTTCGCACCCTGACTTTTTTGATCCAATATGGCTGCGACTTATCCCATGACGCTCTTACAGCAACCATAAGCGTACAGTAAGAGCTCGAACACTTGACACTTGATGTGGGGGTTGGGGAGCAGACTTGTCTGGTGGTGCTCAGGTGTGGAAGTGAGAGCGTAACCAGAGCGACACGCCTGGGCGCTCTGACGTCACGATGACGCAGACATACACAGTAAGATCATATGCATTCTGCTCATTGATCCCAGGTGTGTAAACTGTATATATATATATCTGTGTGTGTGTGTGTGGTGACACTAGGTCCAGTGAATAGAGCTTCATCTGCCCGTTGTCATTCTGAGAGGCTTTGCAGCAGGCCGCTTCCCCATTAATCTGTCTCCTTTTACCAGAGCTGTCAAAACCACGGCATGCGTGCGTGTGTGTGTTTAAGCAGTGTACTATACCACACAGTGTGTTCGTGTACCCCCTCATTGTCTGTGTGTGTGTGTGTGCGTGTATTTGTGCATGTGTGAGCACACCATGTAATATTTCACTCCTTTACCCACAGGGATTAGACCATTCATCTCCCGAAGCCCCTGTGTAGGTGTCACACACAGTGCTAATGAGGAGAGGATGGAACAAGGGAGAGCCGGCGAGCGAGGAGGGTAAAAAAGTAAAAATAGACTTTTGGTATGGCAGAAGAGATGGCGACAGTGATCGATAATTCCTGGCGCGAAAATCAAAGTATTGATGAATGAGGGATTTTCAATGCCGGGAGCGATGAGAACGTGGGCGATTGTAAAAAAGACTGAGGAGGCGGGGATTAGTGCCCTGCAGGGAGGGAAATGGTTAAGAAATGTGTGTTTTTTTGGTTGAGAGCAAAGGCAGGGACTCTTCCCATAACACAAATCAATTTACACTAGCCTGAGACATTGATTATAGCTGGCTCATACCTCACATGGTAACAGCAGACATCAAACAGACACTGTCAAGCCTGTAAAACCACACAACAGGGGCATTATCTGCCTCTCGCTGTGTGTGTGTTTGTGTGTGTCTTCTCTGTGTATGTGTGTTGTTCAGCAGACCAGATATCTCTCTCCGCTTCCCCAGTTACTCAAACAAGGGGATGGCTGCTAGGCAACCAAGCCACATCACATCACATCAGGCAGGCCGGGAGAGAGCGAGAGACATATAGAGAGAGATAGGAGGAGGAGAGAGAGAGAGAGAGAGATAGGAGGAGGAGGAGGCAGAAAACTGTGCTGGCAGTATTACATAAGCCGGCAGCCCAGTCCCACTGCTCACATTAATGTGGTTAGGCACTCGGAAGTGATGTCCATTAGTCACAAGTGACAAGGCAGGTGAAGACGCGGCATCCAGCAGTGATTTTTAAAAGCCATTGTTGTTTATAATGGAGAGAGCGTTACGAACAGATGAGTCAAAAAAACAACCCAAAAACATACACACACACACACACACACACACACACACACGTTATGAGCAGATGAGTCGCCTACTGTACCGTAGAAACAGAACAAACAGGACAGGGACTCATAACACCCCAGAGGGATGGTCTAACAGACGCACATGCACATACATACAGTAATAATGACATATGGAGTGATACACTGGAAGATAACGTGAGCTCTCATTTTAAGATGAGAGGGGTGGGGGGGGTGGGGGGGGGTTGTGTGCAGGACTGTTTCTTAGCTAAGCACTGTAACTTCTTAGAGTATTCGCTGGTTGCCTGGTAACCTCACTGTGAGAACAAGGCTCCAAGAAGTCACTACACCAATCCAAGAACTAGTCCTGCGCACAACCTCCCATAAAACCACAACGTGCTGTTTTTAGACTTTAAAAAAGAAGATGTTTCTCCCTGTTTACAGTCTTCATGCTGAACTGAGCTAAGTGGCTACTGACTCCAACCTCATATTTACCGTACATTCATACTCATCAAACTCTCGGCAAGAAAGCAAAGAACTTTATCTCCTAAAAAGGGTGACTTTTAGATAGATAGATGTACAATATGTGATC